ATTAATATTGGTATGCATTTAGGAATCTGTGGGAGCTTTTGGGGAAGCAATGATGGGAACATAGACACGAAACAAGTAACAGCAAGGCAATTATCACCTTTAGGTAAAACATCTGGTTATCTAAAAAAAGAATCACAAACATAGGATGCTGCTTGGATTAGTCATAATAATGTCATGCTGACAACTGTGCTTTCTCCCAGGACTGCGCTATCAGCACACGGGGAAAATGGGAAAGGCAGAGTGTAGATGGTTCTTCAGGAGACCTTAATCCTCACCTATCTTAACAGGAACTCAATAAATCTAAAATGGATAAATCAAGGAATAACACCCTGTATCAATTATTTAGAAATAGAGAGGCAAATACCAGAAGAAACAGCTAAAATGGTTGAAAGTGGTAGGACCAGGAGTGGAGCTCTTTCCCATAAAAAGCCTCTTAGAACCATTTGGTTTTTAAACTGTGTCATAGGTGACTCTATGAGTGAGCGATGTGAGTGTCCTGTCATCAGCCCAGCCCTTTAAGAGGAGCTCCCTGGGTCTCCAGCGACCTCTGTATAACTCAGTCCCAATCCCCCCAGGTTTTTACAGCCCAAAGTTATTGGGACTTCTCTTCCAAGCTATGGAACTCTGGGCTAGGGGCTGGGGCTGGAATCCTACAGCACTAAATCCTTCCCAATTATAATAATGCCATATGTTGAACCAGTCTGCTCCGCCCTTCTGCCCCTCCTATCAGTCTCTATGTAGTTTCTTTTTTACTTCTCTAGTTGCAGGCCCTGCACTTCTGATGGTTCTGGATGGTGGTTATCTGCATTTTAGTTGTAATTTTGATGTAGTTGTGGGAGTTTACCTACGCAGCCATCTTGGTTCTAAACAGCTTATTTTAATGGAACGACTTGGATTCCAGCATGTATAGGACTCATTCCCTAAGAAACAGAAAGGGAGCTGGTATTAAATATGTGCTGTGTCAAATGAAGCCTGTGGTATCAGCATCACCTACAGGTTATGTCTGGCATCACCTTCTGGCTCCAGGGCAGCGTGAGTGACTCAAAGATCACAGCCAAGATAAATACCTCCTCGGCCTGAACCCCAGTGAGCACTTCTATCTCAACAGGAGCTAGCAGAGTGCCTGGCGGGTGCTATCCACAATCATGCTTTATCTCGCCTGATTTTCTCAAGAAGGTTGTGGGTAGGGTCTTTTAATACCCTTGCAAACCAAAGTGGAAAATTAAACTTGGAGATACCACAGAAGATGTCCACACTTTTTGCATTTACCAAGAGGCAGAGCTGGAAAGGGAACCCACATCTGTCAGACACCAAACCTAAACTCCTAATCACAATCACTGTGCTGCTAAAACTACTGAAACTCCCAAGGCCTTTACATTTTACAGCTGTGCACAATAGGTCACACCAGGCCCTTTGTCTCTGAGTAAGTCCCGTAACCTCCCTCACATCAGTTTCCTTCCTCTTGAAAGTTAATGTGTCCTGCTCAACCTCACTCATGAGGCTCAAATAAGGTAATATATTGAACATTGTAAAAATAAACTCTAAGTGTTGACTTAGGCAGATTATTTTTGATGACAGGGAGAGAAACAGGTCATCCCTGATGCTGTTTGGTGTCCTATAGAAACTGCAGAACAGCCATCCGTGGGTCATTGGCATGGCTGAGCTGTAGGATAGCTCTAGAGAGAGAAGGCAGCTGGGTTCTGAATTGAGATTCGTCCCCATGTCAGTAGGCAGACTGCTGCTGTGGGCAAGGTGATCATAAATGAATGCATCATCACCTTCACTTGGGAACTTGGTATTTCCTTGGAAGGATTTATTCTATTTTTATTTCCCATGAATCCCAGAGCCCTAGTAGCACTGTAGGCTTCAGCTCCAGCTCAGCATTTGTGACTAGACTGAACTGAACAACCCCAAGAGGGAAACTTTTTCTCCCTTCACCCAGCTGCCTGAACAAGCATTGGTTTGGGGTAACTGTACTTGCCTGGGTTGAGTGTGGTTTCATCAGGTCAGTGACTTCCCCAACATTTACTGCCCACGTCTGCCATCTAGTGGACAGTGCTCACTTTTTATTTCTGACCATTTCAAAGTGTGCTTACATTTATGAAACAAAAAGCAGCAGTTACTCTTATTGTACAATCTGTTAAGGCATGTAAATCTGGTATTATGATTTCCACGTAATAATGAGAAAAGAAAGGCTTGGAAAAAGGAAGGAACCTGCATGTTCCGGTAACTAAATTTAGGAACTTTTCCCTCCATTCAGCAAAAACTCAAAATGCTTTAGTCTTGAGCCATTGGATTTGAGCCCAGCCATAAGCCCTGGCTCAGTAGCTATCACCAAGTTCGATCCTCTCACAAAACTGAATTTGATCACTAAAAATATTAGTTTAAATATTTGCATTTGGTAAAACTATTCTGTGCAATGAAAGTGCTGAAGTACTTCCAGAAGGAAAAGTGATGGCTGATATACCATTTCAACTGTGTGTGTGCGTGTGTGTGTGTGTGTGCGTGTGTGTGTGTGTGTGTGTGTGTGTGTGAATGTGAATGTGTGTGTGAATGGTTATGGGTTGTTGAAATTCCCCAAAACTGGGTTTAGTCAAAATGTGAAAATATAGGCAGTGGGAATCTCCTCAGACTCCTTTGAATATAACCACCTACCATTTTATAATACGTGTACTTGGCTTTGAAGTTCTCTGGATGCCGGGGCATCTTCCACAGGGAGGAGAGTATGCCCTCCAGGGCACAGGTGACTGAGCTCAACCCCAGTAAGACTGCTATTCAGTAGATGTGTGACCTCAGGCGAATCTTGTAACCTCCCTGTGTCTCATCTTCTTCACAGGGAAAAAGAGAAAAAAAGTAGTATTCCCCTCAAGGTGCTGTGAAGATTCAGCCACACAGCTTCCGGAAGGCACTCAGCATCCAGCCTGCCACTATAAGACTCAAGCGGGTATCACCTGTCTTTATGTTGCTAACAAGCACACGTGGCGCGTGTGCTGAGGGATGCAGCAGTGAGACATAGGGTGCATGCTGGGGGCAGCAGAGTGGCTGTTTACTTTTAAAATGTTCTCCTAGTGGTGGTTCTCAACCCAGCGGGTGCTCTGCAAGCACCTCTCCAAAAGAAGCAAAGGGGTTTGTGCTGTAAATGCATGTGGGCATGTGGGTTCACCAATGAAAGGAAACATGATTAGCATATGGGGGAACTGGGTGTAGATCAAAGTACTGTCCCACCCAATTAAGAACTGTTCTTTAATAGACATTCCTCTAAAGAAGATGTACAAATGGCCACTGAGCATATAGAAAGATGTTCTATCTTACTATTAGGGAAATGCAAATCAAAATCACAGTAAGTTAAGACCTCACACCATCAGGATGGCTATTATTTAAAAAAAACAACAACACAGAAGATAAGTGTTGGTAAAGATGCGGAGGAATTGGGAACTTTATCCAATGTTGGTGGGAATATAAATTGGTGCAGTTGCTATGGAAATCAGTATGGCAGCTTCTCAGGTTAAATATAGAATTAAACATTATCCACAATACCACTTCTGGGTATACACCCAAGACGACTGAAAGCAGGGGCTTGTACAGATACTTATAAACCCATGTTCATAGTAGCATTATTTACAATAGCAAAAGGTGAAATTGACCCAAGTATCCATTGATGAAGGAATGGATAAACAGGCCGTGGTTTATAAATAAATATTATTCAGCCTTAAAAAGCAAGGACATTTTTACACATGTTGCAATATGGATTAATCTTGAGGATATTATATTAAGTGAAATAAGCCAGTCACACAATAACAAATATAGGGCAGGGCAAAAGTAGGTATATAATTGTGAGTACATGAAATACGGAGTTTATTTTCGTATTATTATTTGTTAAATTAATGTATTATTTTCCACACAAAAAACTGTAAATCTGCTTTTGCCCCACCCTGTACTGTTTGATTCCATTTATATGAGGTACCTATAGCAGTGAAATTCATAGAGACAGAAGGTAGAAAGGTATTTACTAAGGTCTGGAGCAGTGGTTCTCAACCTTTCTAATGCCATGACCCTTTAATACAGTTCCTCATGTTGTGGTAAACCCCAACCATAAAATTATTTTTGTTGCTACTTCATAACTATAATTTTGCTATTGTTATGAATCGTAATGTAAATATCTTTGTTTTCTAATGGTCTTAGGCTCTACAGCAGCGGTTCTCAACGTCACTATGCCAGGGTCATAGGTAGAGATTCACAGGTTGAGAACTGCTGCTGTAGGGCCTAAGACCATCGGAAAACACAGATATTTACATTACAATTCATTAACAGTAGCAAAATTACAGTTATGAAGTAGCAACAAAAATAATTTTATGGTTGGGGGTCACCACAACATGAGGAACTGTATTAAAGGGTCTTGGCATTAGAAAGGTTGAGAACCACTGGTCTAGAGAGAGGAGGAATGAATTAAATGTTTAATGGGTACAGTTAAGAGTTTCAGTTTTATAAGATGAAAAGAATTCTGAAGATAGTGGAAATAATATAAATTCACTCCATTCCAGCGAACTGTACATGTATCAATGGTTATGATAGTGAATTTTATGTGTATTTTAGCACAATTAAAAATTTTATGTGTATTTTAGCACCCTAAGTCCAATAGCATCTCTTTGAGAGATGCTGCTAGAAAATCTAAAAATGCATTTGGTTATAAGTTCATTCATACTAGTGAGACCTAAGATGATGAGAGTATTAGTCATATTTATCTAGGTTTCCTTTTTGTGCCAGTTGCTAGGTTAAGGAGGCCCCTAAGATCAGGTTAAAGAGCACCTCAAGGGCCAAAACCACAGTGCTGGGATCAAGAGTCACACTACTAAACTGGCAGCTCTAGTTTCATAAAGTTGTCATTTATTTATAGTAATTAATTTATAAGTTACTCCTACTAAGCCTTAAGATCACATGAGAGACAACTTGGGCTTTCCAGCTTCAAAAGATACTTTCAGATTCCAATGGGAAACTCTTACCTTGTAGATACAGGACTTAGCATTCAGAAAGAAGAGCTCAATGGTGGCATTATCTTTTAGATATGAAATGCTCTCTATGTAGAACCTGGAAGAGAAAAACCGCAGATGAATCACAGAAGTACCGACCACGCACATAATATACCGTTCTCGGAGCTACAGGATTTCACATGAGGACTAGTGCTCTCACTCCTAAATGAACACAAGAAAAAAGAGTGATTGGTTGTTTTCATATGATTCCATTTCTAGGACCATCATGCCTGATACCCTTATTGTGGCAAAGAACTACCATAGGCCTGTTATCAACTTCTTACACTCGACCATCTACTTTCTTTTTCCTTCCCTGCTTTACATTAAAAAAAAAAACACATTTGTTTTCAATATAGTACATTTTTTCCCTAATCATTGTTGAGCTGGATTTTCAAAAGATAGTTTCTTCTGCTTAGGGGCAATATTTCTCTGAGAAATGGTTATGACCGGTCTTCCCAAAGGTGGTGAAGTGTGGTCTGATTTCTGCACATGCAGAGGACTGTGATATGTGTAATGCTGTAATATTAATACATATTAAGCCACATGAGAATTGAATTTTTATCTACATGGAGCTCATGGATTTTTTTTCAGGTTGAAACATGCTGAAATTATTGAAGTTTATATTAAGTGCACCTTTACACATTGACTTTGGAGTTTATTAAATATCTTAATTAGATAAGGATCAGCTGCACTAAGAGAGTAGGTGCTGTGATGAGAGGGGAATAAGGAGATGGTTGAAATGCAGAGAGTTGGAGGAGGAGAAGCTCAGAAATGGGTGTGACAACTCTTGGGGGGCCCTGGATACTTGTTGCACAGAAACTGGGGATACCAAGAGTAGACTGCAGGTGCAAAGAGAAGAAACGAATGGTATAATGCTATAGAACAGCTAAGATGATGGAAAGGATCCTAGGGAAGAAGTCAAGAGGCCAGTGTCTGGTCCCAGCTCAGTGTGATTTAGGACAAGTAACATCATCTCTCTGGGCTTCCTTCCTAGATTGAAATAGGAGATAGCAGGACTTGGACAGCAGTTCTACATCTAAGAAATATACTACTTTTAGGTACAGGAAACTAATTCAGATTAAAACAATAACAACAGCAAAAACAATAAACCAACATTATGTAAGGCAAACAAAACATATCCATATGCTAGGTCAAGTCCATGGTCCACCAGTTAGCAATCTTTTGTCTACAGACTGACTAAATAATCTGTCCTAACATTTTTTCAAATGTGCAAGGAGGCTGTTGTAATACATTACAGATTCATTTAAGTTTAAATTTACTTAAAGTATTAGCAGATATTTCCAGTCAACAGATATCAATGCAATTACCATCACGTAAGAGTCTACATAGTGTTTGGAAATCACTTTATAGCCCCCATTCTTGCAAAGCCTGGGAATAAGAAGGCTGGTTGACCTCTCCCACACCTCCTCTCCTGCAAAAGTAAGTGAATAAGTGAATCAATGAATGACCGAAGGCATTTGCCTCCCAGAGCAGGTGCCGTAGGATGTGGATGCCTCCATGTAGCATCTGTGGTGGTGGTCTCAGAAGAACTGTCCAGTTGTATAACTTTCAGTTCCCTAATAATGGAGACTTGCAAATCAGTAGCAAATTTTACATCTCAAAGCAAAATAAGTTAAAATTGATTTAATTAAAATCTACATCCACTGTAAAGGGCTTTTGAAAAGGGGTAGTTAGAATAGCAAAGTGAAAAAGGAAAAAAGGGAGGGGAAAACCCAGGGCAATAAAGGGACAGGAGAGGAGGGAAGGAGGGGACTAGAGGGAAGAAGGGAATGAGGGGGAAGAAGAATGCCAGTTCAGCTAGGCGACTTGCAGGTGTGGCTATTACAGATGTAACTTGCTTTTGCCTTTGTTCAAGCTATTCCCCCTTACTGCCCTCCAAACAATCCCCCACACCCTAACTCACTCTAGCCCTTGGCTAGGACCATCACCCATTTGATCTGATTCCTCTCTTTCCCCACAGAAGCCTCCTTTCCCAGGACACCCTCTGCCTGTGGCACTGCCTCACGGTTTGTAATTTTTTGTTCTCAGGGAAGTTCCCTAAGGAGGCTGCTGTTGTTCTCTCCTGGTCCTAGTGCCTCTCCAGCACCACCATAGCGCCTGGCATGAACCTGAGTTCACTATGTATCTGTGAATGAAACTTTCCACTCACTGTTGTGAGGTCGAATCCTGGGTTCAGAATAAGACCACCAGAGGCTGATGACTAATTAAAAAAAAAGCAGGCAAAGAATTTATTGAAATATCTGGCCAGGACAGACGCGAGAGCACCACACGCAGGTGGTCTCCACACGACTGCCCGGTTTCAGGGGTAGAAAGTCCCTTTTAAAGGTTCAAACCACAGGAATTTTCCTTTGTTCTAAATTCTAAATCTTAAAGACTACATTCTAAAGACGGGTCAGCCCACAGGGTCGTTGCTAGTCACATCCTGCTGGACATTGGAATGTGACCCTATCTTGCGATAGCCAATAACACAGAAGCAGAACTCAGAGGTTTTCTACAGTTTCTATCTCTGAAGGTTACTGAGTTAGTGGGAATTACTCTCCTGTGCTCCTGGTCCCAGGCAAGGAAAATTGCCTTAGCCTCTAAGTCTCCACCTGAAAGCTAAGGTAAATAGCTCCCCCCTCCCCCATGTTTAATCAGGTGCAAGAGCCAAACTAGAAGTGTTAAAATTCAAACAGCCGTTTTTACCAAAGTATGGTTGCCACTATATTTCACTCACCACTGGCTGGAGTTCCACTGGACAGTGAAATAGGCAATGAAGGCAATGCAGGAAGGAGAAGAAACACATGGCTTCCCAGATGTCACAAAACTCTAGGTTACGGGATTTTATATTCCACATCCAGCTCTTGCCCCTGCCCCTCTCTCACTGTTAACATGGAAAGTTGTTCAGAGAGAGCTGCTGTCCGTCTTGACTCTTAAAGCCAAACAAAGCAGAGGTCTCTTGAGTTCAACAGCCAGTGAGCTGAGCTCTATAATAATTGTGAGTCTAAACCTGTTGGGTCTGAAGTAACTTCATTTCAAAGCAATGCCTCATAGCTTTATTGCATTTGCTTTCATTCTTGAGAATTTAGGAATGAAGACATTCTGTTTCTCCAGCCCCAATTCTCTCACCAGTATATTAAGGAGACATAAAAATTCCATTTTCAACTCTCTAATAATGGAAAACTGAAATGAGAAGGCAAATTCTACATTTTTATTTTTGCGACAACACTCATTTCCACCGAGTTCTGTGTTGTCTGGCTGTCCAGGAGGCAGGAAGGTAGAGGAAATAACAAGCATATTCTCACATGAAGAAAGCAATTCATCTTCTCTTGACACAAACTGTAAAGCAGTTTCCTGTTAACCTTTATCACCAAGAAACAGCCTGAAAAACCCTGTGAGTTCCAGGCCTGTCACATTATTATTCTATAACCGGGGATATTCAACTCATCCTGAACTTTCCATCTGTGCTAGAGAGCTAGTGACTCAAAATGCCTGGAGAGAAACAGGCCTCAGACATCTCAGAGCACACCCCGAGGCCCAACGCCCGCGGAAAAGAAACTTCTGGGGAAATGGCAAATGGTGATGGTTTCAGTTCACTGTAGAGATTTTTTATTTTCTTTCTCTTTTTTTAAAACCAGTTCTGATTTATTTTTCTGAGAGCCTTGTCAAAGGTACACATTTTCAACAGTAGGTGGCGATGTTGATTTCTTTAACTACCACTCTGTTCACAAAGAAAATTCCAGGTTTCTGGGGAAACTCCCCAAAATGAGCATTTTCTTTAGATTCAGAAAATCTGAATGGACAATTACGAGTCTAATTCTGTACTAACTATGGGTTAATACCCACATCTGGGGCCTCACTGACTCTGCAGGGTCTGCCCTCCTAGCATTAGCTTATTCCTCGAGATAGTACAGGACTCACCTGGGAGCAAGCCCTTCATACACAAACCAACCCATCCAGAGCCCACCCCTCTCCATCTCCCCTCCAGGGCTCTCACTCAGGGCCAGACCCACCCACCCTATTCCCTCCAGGGCAAGGAACCAACAATTTGGGACAGCCCCTCAGCCCCAGAGCCTCAGAAATTATTCAAAGTAGCCAATCCTCACCCATTCCTCCCCCAGAAACAGCAGAGGCTCTTGCCCCCAGTTCCCTGTCCACCTGGCCTGGTGTGTCTGTGTCTCCTGATCTATTGGCCTCACTGCACCAAACCATAACAAAACCTACACTTTAACAGATTCTTCAGCAGACTTGGCAGGACTGGATCTTAGGGCTTCTTTCTGAAGTAAAGGAATACCGGCTAAGAGTGGTCTTTGGGCTCCATGAGCAATGCCACACAAAACCTGACCCCAACCAGGGATGTTTTATCACACTGTCTGAGGTAGGACTCAATATGCGCCAGGTCATGTGTTTGCACACGTTACTTACACAAGAGGCCCTGAAGCCCTGAAGTCATGGGAGCCTCTGACTGCAATGGACCAAACACTGTGCAGCCGATGGCATCTGCCAGGTGCCCCCTCTGGCCCCTCACTCCTCTTCCCTCTCACATCCACCCCTCACACTGGGAACCACTGAGAATTTACAGCAAGTGTTAATTACGTGGACAGTGATTTTATTTTGTAATGAAGAGAAATGTCAGATTTGGGAAGCTTTTTGTAGCAGAAAGGAGCAACCACAATGAGAAGGGTAAGTGAGACTGAGTTTCTGTGACCAAATGTCTGATGGTTAGAATTTCAATGGCACAGAAATCTTAACTGGGACAGCCAGTTGGGATCTAGCAAGTTCTGGTTGGCAAGCGCCTCATTTTACACCCATGTTGCTGTGAGTGACAGTAAATAGTAATTGGTGTCTCCATCAGTCAGGAGACACCCAGTCAGACCATGAACTGCCTCTAAAATCCTTTCTCCCGAATTAAAGCTTCCTCTTCCTTTTTTTTTCTTCTATTGCCCATTCAGTTCATTGTTTATGAAAGTCTACATTTGAGGAGACAAATCTCATCCCCATTTATTTTCCTACAAACAGGGAAGATGACCAGAGCTCCAAAGACATTTGGCTAGAGAA